CTGGTCCCCTCCCTCCTCCCCTAGTCCCGCCTGGCCCCCTCCCTCCTCCCCTGGTCCCTGCCCCCGGCCCCCTCCTCCCTCCCCTGGTCCCCTCCCTCCTCCCCTAGTCCCGCCTGGCCCCCTCCCTCCTCCCCTGGTCCCGCCCCCTCCCTCCTCCCCTGGTCCTGCCCCCCTCCCTCCTCCCCTGGTCCTGCCCCAGCCCCCTCCCTCCTCCCCTGGTCCCGCCCCCGGCCCCCTCACTCCTGCCCCGGTCCACCATCAGGAGTCATGGTCGTAGCTGACGTCACGTTAATCTCGCAGCGATCAGGAGTGAGTGTGAGTATGTGCCTTACTCGTCCTCCCCTATCTACACAGACATAACATATACTATTACCAGGAGTAAGATAATATCGGATATTATCCTATATTATCCTATATTATCTTACTCCTGCTATTACATATACAGAGACTCCCCGACTTACGAACAGGTTCGGTTCCGAGCGGTCATTCGCAAGTCCATTTGTTTGTAAGTCGAACATATGTACGTATACATTATTGTACAGTGGTGTAGTATATGTACGTGTGAACATCGAGTAACCTAGAAGTGTACATAGTGTAAACATATACGTGTATTGTTTACATCTCGACGCATCCCGCGCGTGCTACACTGCTGCCACCACGCGGCAGATCTGCGAACTAAACCTTGCGCCTAAATTTTCGACTTCACGGCAAATTGTTCGTATCAACAAAAGTTCGCAACTCGAATGTTCGTAAGAAGGGGAGTCTCTGTATATAAATAAATATATATATATATATATACATATGTATATATATATATACGTATATGTACACACATAATTTCACGGTGAAATGTCTGCACGGATAGGTAGATTCGCTAAGCACGAGCCGGGTGAACCTCATGACCCCACCATAAGTAAATACTCTAGTATATTGTGAGGTCGGCGGGCGATCAGGCGGGCGGTCAGGCGGGCCCCGAATCTTTGACGGTGCACACACGGCATGTGTTTGAAATAAAGCGTTTGTTCCTTGTAGCCCAGCTTCTATTGTCTTGTATGTGTCTGCGTATCTCTATTCTATTTTGGCGCGATTCCAAACCTGAAACACCGAGAGAGAGGGAGATGCGAAGTCAAGGCGAAGTACTGAGCTTTAAAAATGCTTTATTCAACACTGAAAGTTTTGCAAGATATGCTGCAGTATTACCAATAATAATATTAATAAACATGCAATATTTTACATTAATAATTATAATTATTATTCAATAAACAAACAACACGAATAAGTATGAAAAATGGGAAGAATGTTATATGGAGTCTTACAGGAGTCGACCAGAAGGACATCTGGTGCTGGAAAAATGCAACTTCACGAAATAATAATATTGTAATGCAATGGCACACGATAAAAACAACTGCCAGGGTGACACATGTACACGTTTGGTAGATAGCAGATAAAACTTGTTTGCTCTTTATTTCACACACTCACACACACACACACACACACACAAACAAACAAACACACGTCGCAATTATGTGAAGGGTAAAGGATATTATCCAGAGCGTATAAAGAAGGTATATATACGCCCTTCTTTATACACTCTTGATATTATTTATTTCACTCAAGGATAGCAGCAGCAGCAGCAGAGATAGACTGGTCTGCGTTCGACAGTTCCACTCGCGTTACATTGATGCCAGTGACGTCAGTGTAACGCGAGTGGAACTGTCGAGCGCAGACCAGTCTACAGCAGAGAGAAAGAGAGAGAGAGAGCGAGAGAGAGAGGCAGAGAGCGAGAGCGAAAGAGAGAGAGAGAGAGAGAGAGAGAGAGAGAGAGAGAGAGAGAGAGAGAGGGAGAGAGAGAG